TAAACCACCTTGCATCTAAAATATTAAGAATTGTAGAGGGACCTTATATGTCACTATAAATTAAGTAAAAAAGAATAGAATTTATTTCATTGCTAATTGAAAAAGACACACATTTATGCTTTGTAAGTTCACAAACATCACAATAAAAATTTTTGACATTTAATTGGTTGAACAAATAAGGAAGTATATTTTTCAAAGTTTCAAAAGAAAGATGTCCAAGACAAAATAATAAAGCCATATTTTATCTTTATTGGGAGATTTTTCATAAAGAAATGATAAATGTAAACTATTCTTAATATTACTTGTATTGTTTGATATCTCAAGATAGTATAATCCATTCTTTTTCTTAGCAAGTTCAATCCTCTTCCTCGAACTTTGATCTTAAAATTTACAATAAGAAGAATAAAAAGTCACTTTGTAGTTCATATCTCTGGTAAATTTTTGTATAGATATCAGATTAGTATATAATCCAGGAATATGAAAAGCATTTTTAAGAACAAACGGGAGATTAATTTGAACATCTCCTAATCTTACCACTGTAATAAGTGAATTATTTATAACAATAATTTTTTTATTACTTTGACATAGGGTTTATGTACTAAACTTCTGTGAAAAATATGCCATATGATCTGTGGCTCCTGAGTCAATGATCCAAGAAGTTGTAATAGGCTTAACCGAGACATTTAGTCTATGAAAACCAAAAGTTTTACCTAAACTAGAGACCTTACCCAAGGAACATACCCTAATAGGCTTTTCAAAGGTTTTTAATAGACTTTTCAGCTACTCAATCTCTTCTCTGTCTAACTCTTATTGTTTTTAAAACATCTATAATACTTTGGTAATTTTTTCAGTTGATACTTTCTCAAATTGGATGATAGTGATATCTTTTTTTGAACTAAAACAAGTTTTAAGATATAACAAAAAATGACTCTTAGCAATGAAGGCTAAAGAAAGGAAAAATAAAATGGCTATGAAAGCTTTATTAGGATTTGGTAATGAAAGCTTAAAATAAAATTCAACAATGAAAGCTAAAAATTTTACTTCCTAAAAAGAGTCTAAAGCTCTGATTTTCTGTGAAAAAAAACTATAAAATAAAGTTATGTGAAAAATTAAGAGTAAAACTGAATGTATATTGAAAAACTGCTCATAAATAAATTATACAAGCACTTTAAGTTTATATATAATTAACTAGTAGATAAATTAAAAATCTAAATCTTTCTAAAAATCGATTTTATAATTGAGAGATTATCTATCTTAATTTTTTATCTTTAATTCTAATGATACAAATATTTAATTATAAATATAAAAATATAAAAATATAAATTATAATATTATAATTAACTATAAATAAGTATTTTCTCACAATGTGAGATCTGCAAAAGAGAAAATAGAATCAAACAATTAAGTACAAATCTAAAACAGTAAAATGTTTCCATCAAAAGAAAAAAAATCTGAAACTTCCATTTTGTTTACTGAAAGAAAAAAAAATGGAGCTGTGACTTTTATTATTACGAGTTTCCTACGTTTCTTGATAATCAAATGAAGACAAAAGAGAGACTGAGAGGGATGGATGAGTTGGGGAATTGTAAGTGGGTGTCAAAAGTAGATGGTGGCGGTGGTGGGGACAAGTAGATGTTTTTCAAAAGTTCATCCATGCTTATGGAACCAAGGCTATTCTGAGATTGGTTTTGATTATTTTGAAGGTTTTAAAGACCAGCAAGGAGAGTGGAGAGTGGAGAGCGAAGAGCATAAAGATGGTTGGCATGGATGATTAGGATTCGTCTGGTTTCAATTTTAGGGGAAAACTTTTAGTGGGAGAACTTATTGAAAAATGAAAGGAAATTGCAAGAAGAAAAAGGAGTTTCAATTTGAGGAAAAAAATTTAGCGACGTTTACTTTAGAAACGCCGTTAATTTCTTTACAATAGTGGCATTTCCTTAAAAAACATCATTATTTATTTTCGAATAACAACGTTTATAGCCTAAAACACCATTAAAAGATTTATATTTATATTTTATTAATTTTAGATTTTATTTTGAGGTGTTTACGCCACTAATTTGTTTTTTTAGTAGCATTAAATAGTACAAACATCATTATTCGAATATTAAATGATGTTTTGTTAAAAAATCATTCGAGCTCTATAAAAATATTAAAGTTAGTGACGTTTTTTAGTGAAAATCACTAAAAATTATCATTGATTTTCTATTTTCTTGTAGCCTTTTCATGAAAAATATTTTGTCAAAAGTATGTTGCTTCTAATTGAAATTGAATAATCTTCTCCTGGTTTTAAAATCCATTTGAACAAAAAAATATCCACTATATTTGAAGAAATCATCAAACTTAAAATTTATTTAATGATTATTTGAAAACTCATGTTTCATTTAAGTTATTTGTAATCTCTAACAATATAAATACGTTTCTTTTCTTTTCTCAATTTAAAAAATTATAATTTTATTTTATTATCATTACGTTATAGTTTTGGTCAAATAGTAAAGATTTGAATGAAAAAAGGTAAAATAAATCACAACAATTGATTAGTGATTTGAAGATGAAATAAGTAAAGAATTTTATTTGAAATTGTGGATTAATTCATTATTTGGTGAAATTCAGTTATCTCTTTTGATTACGAAAAATATAACCTTTTTTTTTATCTATCGTGACTTTTTTACTTTTAAAATTTATAAAATATTTGAGAGGTGTCATTTTTATTTTATCTTTTAAATGCATCTTTTATTGTTATAATATATATTTGATAATAAAATGATATATATATATATATATATATATATATATATATAACATTTGGAGGGCCAAGGCCCCCTCAGGCTACCATTATTAACTACCGCCCGTGAATGTACAGGATCGATACAAACAGAGACGCATAAAATTGCATTAATAGTCCTTCCACCGTCCACACCTGGTTTTGGAAGGGGACTGGTGGACTTACATAAGCCCGTTGTTTGTATATTGTGAGCCACATTTTCATGCAAAAACAAAAGCAGGGTCGTTGATAGATGACACTGTCTTAGTTTTCCGACGAAATATAATTCGTTCTCATTGAAAGGAACACTGGCATACGCTTGCTTATGGGTCGTCAATTCATCTCTCGATTCAGATGTTCCCAAAATATCACTCTTTTTCATTTCATGGAAACAAAACGGAATCCTTTATAAAGCAAGAGAAGATAAGACACGTTTTTATCCAATTTCATTCAGGTTTTGCGTGAGGGAATTAGGAACCCATCTCGATTGATCAATCGCGCCCACGACAACCGCTGACCCACTTGAACTTTGATTTAAATGGTGTAATGTGAAAAAAAAAAAAAATTTAAACTCATTGTTTTAATTAGATGAAGAGAATCAAATTATACAAACATTAGAAATGAGTAGAAAGTATGTTTAGGAAAAGGAGAATTTGTAACCTAGTCTTAAAAATTACCTATTGTTTTTGTTCATTTTTTTTATATCTTAAAATTATGTCTTTTTTTAATCTAAAATTCTTTTTTATATATTTTAAAATTATAATTTATGATTTTTTTACTTTTTAATATTAAAAATAATGAAACTTTAAATTTATAAAAAATAATTTTAATATTAAATATATTAAAATTAATTTTTTTTAAATTTCACAAAAATTAATACAATTCAAATATTTTGAGACCAAATAAGTAAAACACAACCAGAACTCAAAAAAATCCACCCAAACGCACCCTGGCTCCGTCGACGTGTTCTCTCTGTCATTCTCGTCCACAAAAGTCTAAATCAACCATGGTTCAAACACCAGTAAATATCAGGTACATATTTTGTTTTGTTATAGAAATTTCCTAGGAAAAGTTAATGTCTGCTAAAAATTATTTTTAAGTAAATTAGATAATAACTAAAATTTTCACAATTTTTTTTTTATTTTGATATTTTTATTAAACCACTAATATTTTTTAAATTTAAAATTTTGATCATTAACATTTTTAAATTTAATTCTACAAACTTTTACGATTAAATTGTAAAATTTTCAAAATCAAATAATCAAAATAAAAAATTAAAAATGCTAAGAGACCAAAAACGTGATTTATTTTTAACATCAGATACATATTTTTCAGAATTTATAACATTACATGTTAGATAAGTAATTGAATGTATTTAAATAAAATTTGTGAATTTTTTTAAATAAAATTTGTGAAATTTTTTATTAAAAATGATAACGGAGAGAGTGGGCCATGAGAATATGAAACACGATCGTAACGTTAAGCTGCTAGCTAAACGATGAATGATAATTTAGCTTTAGAGTTTTAAGAGAGGGGAAGGTCGATATGAAGATTGAGCTGGCTTTTTTTTTTGAGTTAGAAGTGGGGGTTGTTCCTTAAGATATCAGTAGTGAAGTTTAGTATCGGTTTTAAATAAAAATTAAAATCGAAAATAAAAATTAAAAAATTTTTTAGATAGATTAAGTGTTTAATTTTTTTTTAAAATTTAATGAATTTTAATATATATTTTTATATAGATATCTTTAATAAAAATATTGATAAATTTTTTTACAATTTAATAAATATTAATCAAATTTAAATTATAAATAATATTTTTAATAAATTTTTTTTACATGTTATGAAATTTTACATTAAATTTTATTAATTTATCAATTTAAATTTTTTATTATATATATTTTAAATCATTTAACAAAAATTTTTTCACAAATTTTACTTAAAAATTTTATGTAAATTTTGTCCAATGTCATATATGTGAAAATATCACAATAATTTATCGTTAATCTTTAACGATTGAGCAATGAAATTTTAAAATTTATAATTTTTCAAAAATTGAATGATAAAAAAAAAATAATCATAAAACTTTATCAAGTAAATAATATTATAATAATTAATTTTCTAATTAATGAAAAATGTTGGTCTTGTAGCTTGCCCCACAATGTCACCGATCCCTCCCTTTCAACTTTATAAATACCAAGTATTCCCCTCTGAATTATTGCTAGGTATTCACAATTTGCTGCCATTGATCCTCTCACCCAACCAGCTCTTCCACAGCTAATTTCCTCTCAACTACTCAACGACCATGTTGTATTACGTTCTTTTGATTTTAAACCAATTGAAATTGGCCTGGAACTTGTTGCTTAAATATTCTATGTTCCCTAACGTTTACGACAAGCAGGAATTCCCACAGCAGCACTTGCCAGGCGTTGCTGATCAACAACTTGGTGTAGTTAGATACAATTGGAAGCAGCAAAAACAGAACTGCTTCGACGACGACGATGAAGAAGAAGAAGTGGCTTGTGCTGTTTGCCTATGCCGAATAGAAGAAGATGATGAGATGAGAGAGCTGAGATGTAATCACCTTTTTCATAAGGTTTGCTTGGATAGGTGGCTTGGTTACAGCCTTTCCATGACTTGTCCCATTTGCCGTACTTTCTTGAGTCCTGCTAAACTAGTCGCCGGTGTTGAAGTGCTGATATTTAACTATTGCACTTTCAACTCCAACCACCACGACAACTGGTGGCTGCGCTAGCTTGAAACATCAACTTCAACTATCCGTTAGTGTTTTAGTTGGGGGAATGCAAATTATTAGATATCTTTAAAAATAAAAAACCAATAAAAAACCCCCTTTTTATTAAAATATAAAAACTGTTAAATATTTTGTGTAATTATATGTAGATTTTAGTTTTAATCTCTCAAATGCAACGATGTATGGACGTGCGTTAGGCACGAGACTCTGGAAGGATGTGCTTATTTCCACTTGTAGCATTGATCTTCGTAACCTTTTCTAATTCTAAATTGGTTTCAAAAATAACAAAAGGCAAATGCAAAAAATAAAGATCTATCTTTAATTCTAAAAAGCTTAAAAATAAAAGAGGTTATTTTATTTTTAAAGTTGAAATAAGTTTTCATTCCACAAGAAGATTTATGAATATCTTTAAATTTTTTTTAATATTTTTAGAATTTATAACTTATTTCTCAATAAAAAATCGAAAGAATTCAAATCTAAATATTTTATATTTAAACTTTAAATTTTAATCACTTATATCAATTTATACTAGCCAACAACTTTGAAAAATTATCGATTGCGTGTTGAATTTTTTGTTTTAATGTCTAAGTAAAAAAAATAAAGAACAAAAGTATAGTGTTAGTATGGTTATATAGAGAAAGTATACTAATTAAACTAATTATTGAAATTTTAATTTGAAAACTTATCAAACTAATTAATATGATTGTATGTATATTGAAATCTCTTACGAATTTTTGGGTGAAATACAAAGAAAAAAAAACTTATTGTTTGAGATCAAATAAACTTGCCTTATGAAGTTTAAAGCCAGACACTTTACCATCCCAATTATTTCTTCTATTAATTTTCAATCAACCCTACTGAAAAAAAAAAAGGGCGACATATATAACATTGCTATAAAGAGGAACCCAAATTTAAAGAAGAAGGACACTAATGATAGGTGAGACGACACTAGCTCATCCGACTTTATCCATTGTCTAGCTCTTCAGTCCGGAAGTATATCTTTCACAACATTTTCATTATAATTAATTAATCAAAATTTATGATTATATAAAATTTATATTTATAAGCAATAAATTTTTACATAAATTTTTATTATAATTAAATAATTAAATGATTGTATTAAAAAAATTATAAGTGAAATGTTATTGTCAGTCCACACAAACTTTAAGATATTAGGTCTAATTAAGGAAGGCTACTTGCTCATCTTTTTTTTTTTCATCATGAGTTTTCTATTTTTTATGTCCATATCCAGGCTACTGTCAAGATCAATTAGATTTAGATTGAAATAATGAAAAATGATATTTTCTTTATTCTTTAAAATGATATTTTATAAAATTAAAAATGTTTATGAATTGAAAGAAATTAATTAATTTTTTAAAATCGATTCTAATACTTGACTCCATCCATTAAGTTCAAGAAGTTCGAAAATTAAAAAAATATATTAAAATATAAATATTTTAATATTTGTAAACATATTTTAAAATTAAATAAAATTAATTTTTTATTAACCAAATAATATATTAAGCTAGATCGAATCTAAACATAAAAAAAAATTTATTCATAACTCAACTTGAATCAAATTGAATCCATCTAATCGAGTAAAGACATAATGTAACTTTTTCGTTTTTATAAAATAAGAAACTATGCAATAAAGAGTATTTAAAATAAAAAAAAAAAAGTTTTTTTTTTTTTGTGGTTTCCCTTGAATCACCCAAAAAACGTGTGGCTGCTTCCGCGATTATAGGACTAGTAAAAGGGGTCCACTCGTAAACAACGTTTCCCATGCCTTTGGAGTTTTTTTGGGTGTATCATTAAATACACTGTGGCCCAGAAATTAATGCTGTTTTTAAATTGGCCATTTCATTAAATATACTCGGGCTGTCTTTGCACTAAAATTTCATTTTGTTGTTATTTTTAGTTATTTAAAAACAAATTATTTACCGACTTTCAAAATAAAAATTCAGACGCATTGAAAAAGACTAACTTCAATAATTAAATCAAACACCAGCTAAGAAAAAAAAATTTTGTATGAAACAACAAAGCAAATTCTTGATTAAGACAATAAATATGTTAAAAATTTTTTGGTAAAGATGATTTTAGCCAAAATTTAGACAGTAATTATAATGAAACGTGCTTAAATACATTCCTCACATATTGGGTATAAAAGATTTCCATATTTTAAAGGAAATACGAACCAAAACTATCTTATAAAAATATATATTTACCAGAAAATTAAATATATATATATATATATATTCGCGTCATTAAATAATTGAAGTGTCACAATATTGTCACCGTGTTCCATGGGATCTTTCGTTAAAGTATACCAATGAAAAAGATGGATTATATTCGTCGCACATCCTAGTACGGTGTCTAATTCCTGCCACATGTTATCGATAAATGCTTGTTTTTTGATCATTTAACAATATTAATTTTTGTGGCAATCGTTTCCCTGGCTGACTGGTCGTTTGCTTTGACACGACTCTCTGGTTTTCCAGTAAATCGCCAAAGAGCAATCTGGTGTGGAAAAGAGGGAAAGGCAGACTTTATACTCTTATGTGAACTCACATTTCAATTAGATTTCGGGAACAAAAAATTAAACTCAGAGTTGGAAGTTCATCTTCTTTACACAAATCAATCAATCAAGTTTTGTAATGGAAAACCATCACAGATTTCACTTATTCCTTTTGTATAGCATTGAGAACAAAAAGAATTAACCTCACCTTCAAAGCTCAGCTTCAGAGACCTCTTCCAGGACCAATGCTCAAAGCCACTAGATTAAATATATATTTGGATGGATATTAATATTTGTTTGATAAAATTAAAATTATTGATGAAAATGAGATTAATTATTATAATAATAAAATATATATTTAAATAATAAAATATCGATAACGATGAGGTGAGAATAGAAATGACTATAAAAAATTTATTTTAAAAATATATTGATAAATTTTTAAATATTATTTATAATATTTAAAATTTTAAAAATTTTATTTAATGAAAATATTAATACATTTTATTTATTATTTTTAAATTAATAAAATTATTTTAAATTAACAAATGAAAAAACAAAAAAAAAATGGTAGAGATATTTTTGTCAAATCATTATGACTTTAAGGGTAGAGGAGAAAAAAAAAGCCAAAAAAATAGGAACAAAATTGGAAGAAGGCTGCGTTAAGGTTGGGTGATTTTTCAGAGCTCCAACAGGGAACTGGGGACCATCAAGATTAATTAGTGTGATCACAAAAACAATACGATTTAAGTAAAACAGTGATGCAAATCGCATCTCAACAATACCAAATGAAGATCCAAATGAAGCCTAAGGTGGTCTCCACTCTAAACCAATTTGCCAGAGGAAAATTCAACTGACAATTCATATAAAAACAAGCAAAACAACTGGAAATCACATGGAAATAAGGATATATCAACCATTATTTGCCTCCAATTTTTTATAGTCTTAGCATATTGCTTTTATTTTATATATTCAAGTTATATCCTTTCCATTTAAGTGTGCACTCAAATATTTGTTTTGGACCTTTATTTGTTCTATCTTCTAAATAATAGTATATTCCATAACATAATGCTCATTTTCATTCTCTCCTTATAAAAGTTATTTAATTATTATTCATTTACATTGTGTATAAAAGTTAAAAATTCATTTGATCAAATGATATAGTGCGGTGATAAAGCCTTCCCATCTCATTTAATCGCCAATTTCTTGCCAAATCTTAACCAAACGAGTCCTATTACCACTGGTATGAGTAGTTTGTTAAACACAAATCAAACATTTCATTTCACTTGGATAAAATTTCGGTAGTGTTTGATATAGTTTTGCTTTTTATAATATTTGATACAATTTTGATAACTTTTTAAATTATTTTGACAAATTAATATAATCTTGATAACTTTTAATACAATTTTAGTAAATTTTGATATAATTTAACCTTTAATAAATTTTGGTAATATTGGTTAGATATTTGATAATTTTTTTATATAATTTTAATAACCTTTGATACTATTTTGGTAATTATCGATGCAATTTTTGTAATTTTTGACAAAATTTTAGTAACCTTGTTATAATTTTGGTAAGTTTTAATACAAATTTGATAACCTTTTATATACTTTTTGTTTTGATAACTTTTGATAAATTTTTGGTAACTTTTCCTATAATTTCGGTAAGTTTTTATATAATTTTGATAAGTTTTTACATAATTTTTATTTTGACAACCTTTGATATATTTTGGTAACTTTTGTTAGATGTTTGATTACCTTTGATAAAATTTTGATAACTTTTGATATTATTTTGAGAATCTTGAATAAAATTTTGATAATCTTTGACAAAATTTTAGTAACCTTAATATAATTTTAGTAACTTTTTATATAATTTTAGTAATTTTAATAACCTTTGATACTATTTTGATAATTATTGATACAATTTGGATAATTTTTGACAAAATTTTAGTAACCTTGATATAATTTTGATAACTTTTAATACAAGTTTTATAATTTTCTATATAATTTTTGTTTTGATAACCTCTATTAGATATTTGATAACTTTTGATAAATTTTTGGTAACTTTTGATATAATTTTGGTAATATTGGAGATAATTTTGATAAATTTTTACGTAATTTTTATTTTGATAACCTTTGATATATTTTGGTAAACTTTGTTAAATGTTTATAACTTTTGATAAAATTTTGATAACTTTTGATATTATTTTGATAATCATTGATAAAATTTTGGTAATTTTTAACAAAATTTTGGTAATCTTTAACAAAATTTTAGTAACCTTAATATAATTTTAATAACTTTTAATACAATTTTAGTAACTTTTAATACAATTTGATAACTTTTTATATAATTTTCGTTTTAATAACTTTTGATATATTTGGTAATGTTTGTTAGAAGTTTAATAACATTTAATAAAATTTTAGTAACTAATGATATAATTTTGGTAATTTTTGACAAAATTTTTATAATTTTCATATCATTTTGATAACTTTTAATACGACTTTGTAACCTTATAAATATATATATATAAATAATTTAATAACCTTTTATATAATTTTCATTTTTTTAACTTTGGATATATTTTAGTAACATTTATTAAATATTTGATAACCTTTCATAAAATTTTAACAAATTTTTTTCATACAATTTGGATAACAAAAACAATTTCTAATAGCAAGATTATCACAGAATTCTTTTCCTACGGAAAGTTATTCTAAAATCTTTATTTCTTAATAGGTATAATTTTAAACTTATTTATCTAAATGAGGTTATCATGCCTTGTTCTATTTTTTTATTATCCTTTTCTTTTAACATACAAAATATAAAGCACAAAACTTATATAAAATTTTATAGATGAAGTTCGTGAAATTTTTTATTAGAAATGAATAGACAAAAACTTTAACAAGAAATCTAAATTGATAAATTAATAGAATTTAATATCAAGATCAGTAATATGTAAAAAAAAATTATTAAAAATATTGTTTATAATGTAAATTTGATTGATACTTATTTAAGGATAAATGTTTTGTCAATATTTTTACTGAAAATATATATTTAATAGATATATCAAAATTTATTAAAATTTTTTCAAATTTTATAAGCTTGATTTATGTAACGAGATCTTTTAATTTATTGATTTTGATTTTTAATTTATTTATTTCTAATAAAAAATTTCATAAATTTCACTTATCAACCTTCATGGAAGTATTTTTCAAATACAAGAGATTACACGTTCTCTGCTTCCATGCTTTTAACTCTCTTGCAATCAAAGATCAGTAGCAAGCATAATAGGAAAACTTTAGGTGGGATCATAAACAAGGGATGGAGATATAGGAGCCAAATTTGTCCCTATAGATGATGCGTTTGGAAGTTCTTTAACAGGGCCATGATGCTTGGGAAACTGTGTTGGCCTTGGAGATGGAAATGGGGATTTTGCTGGAGGGCTCGAATTGATTACTAGAACATAGGACTGAGAAGAAACTTCTTTGGGGGATCAGTTGATGGCGCAGCCTTTCTCTCAACTATAACAACAGTGATCAGTCTTTGCCCCTTTTGGCAAAGACCCCCTTGGCCACTAATAAAAAAGAATGGACCAGAATGAGAAAACTGAATCAACTTGTCATTTAGGGTTCTTCCTATATGCCAAAATCAAATCAAGAAGACAGTTGAAAGTAAAAATGGCTATGAAAACAAGGCCAAAATATTGAATCAAAGCAATAAGAAAATGAAAGACTTACTAAGGGTGTCATTGACTTGGAACCTTTATCTACAGCCCTGTCATTGTACATCTCTTTAGGCTGTAAAACTCAGGATCGAAGAGGAAATGCTTCAATTAAACTATTAAGCACTGGTCTTAAAGCTTTCATTTATAAATATTTAAGCTATTTAATTATTTGTAGTGTTATAATGCTATATACAGTAGAAGATATATGCATAGTCAGAGAACGTAAGAATATTATTAGTGGCTTGAAAGATCAGCTCGTTAAAATGCTACCTTCCTTTCATATCTTAACGAGAGGATAATTATATCTAGCATTCCATAAGCTTTTGATGGGTTGAAATCTTTTGTTGAATTAGAAACCCTGTTCCTACCCTGTTTCACCATGTTTCAAAGGCAGGCAGAAACAGTGTTTTGTAATAAAAAAGAAAAAGTAACGATAATGTATTTAAAGAATCTGACATGATATTCACAGGCTACAAAGTACCTCGTTTACGCAAACAAATTTAAAATGATCCTTATTAAGGAACAAAATTATAAAATATCTCGAAAAAAACTCGATTATCACAATTATTGGGATAAAATTTATATAAAATTTTTTAAATAAAATTTAATGTAAAAATTAATAATATTTAAAAATATTAAAATATTATTTATAATTTAAATTTAATTTAAATTTATTTATTCATAAAAATTTTATCAATATTTTTATTAAAAATATTTATATAAAAAATATATCAAAATTTATTAAAAATTTTTCAAATTTTATATATTTAATTTATATAATAAAACCTTTAAATTTATCAATTTTAATTTTAATTTAATTATTTTTAATAAAAAATTTAATCTAAATCTTTTCAATACGTTAACAAGCACTACCTTAAAAGTTGGCGACAAGGTCTAATAGGGTACCGAAAATCACTGCCACTCACTGACACTACCAAAGTTTTGTCACCCTTTGCTTCTGACTTTGAGGTAAACAAATAAAACCAAAGTATGCCCGGCTGCTTATCTCAAATAACTTGATACTTCCCAATAAGGTCTAGCTTATAGCTTATTGCTGTAATAATTGTGAATCACTTCGTTGCAAACTGAAAAGCTTGAGACAGGTTCACACAACCATTCATGCGTGATTTAGTTTGAAACCTGAGACATTAAAAGAGAAAAATAATTAAAGAAAGCCATTGAATTTCAATGTAGAACAAGCTGCTGCCCGCTTTCGAGGAGGATCAACAAGAAGCTGCTGCATACTTGACAGCTACTGCCTGTCACCAAGAAAATTTTTGCTGTAGCAGTGGCAAGGTCGTGCTCTACTCTCATAGCTTGCAAACACTGTTCAACCTAAATATATACCGAAGGAACCAAACGAAACATATAAATCTATTCAGCCTCTTTGACACTATAGTCTTTCAATTTGCACAATCCGACAGCTTATTATTACTTCGGATTCTTCATCTTGGATCACCAAGATGCCAGAATTCGGGCCTTCAGGAGGCATTGAGAACAACTGTGAAGCAAACTTTTTGTACATTGAGAGAGGCCTTGTCATGTACATTTTCTTCAGGCTATCTTTAGTTTTCCTTGGTTTTTCTTTAAGGCTGCGATACTTCATTTGCTTTCTTTATTTTTTGGGAACCATCAGCTTCCTTAATACTATGATTAATCAGTCTAGCTCTGTTCATTACACTACCAGGGGATTGCTTCTTCTTCATCATGGTTGGGACCAAATTGGAAAGCAACCTTGTTCTTTCACTCACTCCCTTTAGCATTTTCCCTTTTTGTCATCATATGTCAGTGCTGTAGTGTGGCGTTTTCGTGGGAGAAGGGATGTCGGGACAACGCTTGATTCTTATATTAGTAGTAAGATAAAGTGGCAAAAACTTAGTGGTTTTCCGTTGGTTTCAGCATGTCATCTACTGTCAATTTTTGTAGAAAGAAATGGTTCAACTGTGTTGAATTCAGATATTTTCGTGTTATTGATTCAAAATTTGTTGGAAAAAGCAAACGAAGAAGAATTAACTTCATTACAGTAACCTAATTTATATTAGAAATTATACACAATCATGACCAGGAGAAAATTCTCGTAGGCACAAAAGAAGCATAAATGATCACTCCCATTTGTTTCTGATCTGATGAGTATGCTTGAAATCATAGGTCAATGCCACACTTCCATCCATTCTTCTCAATACAAACCTCTCCACCAACACATAACACCCAAATTTGTTCCACTTACCATTCTTTCCAAATTCCTCTACTGTTTGAATCCTCTCTTGCCTTTCATTTCCAGCAGTCCACCCAAACCTTTCTTGTTCCCACTTCATTCTCTCAACGATTGCCAAACTTAACCCAATAGCTACTTCCCCTCCTGTTACGCTAGAACTCCTAAACCACATCACCCCATCAAGTATTTCCCTCTCATCTTGCAAAACCTCCATCCCATCAACTCTAACTACTTCTTTTTCAACTGTGGCATCCACGACCACGGTGTTATCTTCATTATAGTCATCGTCAAAAACTTGTTCCCATCTTTGCTCAAGTGTCATTTCATAATACATTGATTCAGCCATCTGGTCTTTCGGTCTTCCATCTTTGATGAAAATGAAAGGACAGTACCATTTTCCAACAACCATAGGTTCTGAACTCTTGTGAGATAATGGGAAGTTGAATTCGGGTAGGCGGGCTCGGAGGGCAGTGTCAAGCCCTGGTGCTTCACCTAATGTGAAATTACGAGGAGTTGAGATGAGCACTCGCCAGCCTTTTCTCCTCAAGAACGTTGGAGGAACCCCATCTGGGGCTACAGATTTGGCAACAAAGCCTCCCCAACTCCGAGGACAGATCTCAAATTGTTGATATATGTCACGATGATCTGCTGGCTGTGGTTCAATGTCAGGAAAACACTTGCAGAAACAGCAAGTGACAACATCTTCCTCTGCTGAATTTGTGAATGCTTCCCTACACCCCAATTCAAAAATCCACTATTAATAGTTAGAATAAGAGCCAATACAAAACAATATCCTCAGAAATTGATAACTAAGTTAAATCTATGACAACATACTTACCCTTTATGACTTCCTCGAGGCTGTAACGCATAGTACCGATTGGAAGACAATGGTTGATCAAGAACAGGAATGAATGCTGCAGCGCGTGTATAAGTACTATTGTTATTATTATTATTGTTATTATTATTATTATTATAGCGAATCCGTATCTTCTTGTTTTGAGGGAAAGGCAGGCGATTCAGCTCATGACTTTTGAACATTCCAAAACAACAAGTTGGTTCTGCTTCTTCATCCAGGATTACCAGAATACCGGAATTCGGACCCTCAGGAGGAGGTAATTCAAGCTCTGAAGGAGACTGTTTATACATAGAAAGAGGCCTTGTTACATACATCTTTCTAAATTCCAAAAATTTCTGATTTTGCTGCTCTGAGTACTTTTCTGCTATGAAATCTCTTATAAAATCTGAACTGAAAGAGAAGATATGTTGAATTCAAACAAGCAACATTGGCATTAGACAAGTAACAACACATTTGACTAACAACTAGTCAGAGCAAGCCTTTTTTTAATGCATAGTTGAAAGTTCAATGGCGTCTACTATTAGCTAAGTGTATACGTTTCGTGGAAGCTTTGTTCATTTATCAAAGTATAAACCAATTCAAAAGCAGATGCGCGACGCAAAGGAGGAAAGCAACTATTACCAATTAGCTGTTAGCTCGGTGCTAATGGATTATGCTTCAGGGCCAAGGGATTAGAATTCAAACCTCAGTTCTAATTCAAAAAATTAATTATATTGGGGTACTTAAATTTTAAGAAAATATACAAATTAGTTCCTAAAGACTTAAATAATACAATTTGCATTCTAAATTTTTAAATTATATATCATCTTAAATTTAACTCTAATCTTGCTAATCATATTAGCTTTTATATATATATATATAACATTTGATAAATATTATAAAATTATGTGTTTATTGCACATATTATTAACCAATTTTTTATATAAATTAAAAAAATATTTTTTACTTAACCTGTAAAAATTGTCTAGAATAGATCAATTATTATTTGTCATAGGAGATCCACATGACATCCTTTAGAAGTTTTTATAAAATATTTAATACTTTTATTTAATAAATAACATTTATATAACAAAATTATAATGATTAGATAGTATATGGGTAAGTTAAGTTAATAATACTAGAATTTAGATTAAAATGATATATAGTTTGAAAGTTTAGGGTGCAAATTACACATTTTAATTCTTTAGATATCAATTTGTATTTTTTTTTATTTCAAATAAAAATATATAATTAACTTTAATCCAAAAGATTAAAAAAAGTCAACAATTAAAAAAGCAATTCTCTTTCATGCTTTCATTCTTTTGGTTGATGAAGGTTAGAATCCAAGGGATTGCTAATATTCAAAATTACTATTCTAATTATAAATTCAACCCTATCATCCGATAGATTAATGCTTCATTTGGATTAGATAGGCTTTAAGAGGGATTTTATCACATTGAGAGTGTCGTTTTGTGATTGAACCTCTCCCATTCTCCCGCCGCCCAAATGAAGCATAAATCTATTCAATTTCAATGTTCAAACTTCAAAAGAGTCGTTAACTAACTCGGTTGCTTGGTTTGTAAAATCTTTTGACAATTCCACCAAGGACTTGGAATTGAAAGATACCCTGTTATAGAATCCATCTATTGGGAAAAAAAATTAAATTAAGTTGGTTGGAACTAGTTTGAGATTGACAAGCCTTAGTTGCTTCCTCACCAAGTGTAATATTGTATCGATGATGATGTGAAGATTGTTTTAGGAAGAAATGGTAAACCTGAAAATACCTTGTTGCTTTTTGTTCCTCTCTTGAGTTTTTGAAGTAAGTGAAAAATCAAAGACATTCCTGAGCTAGCCACTTTTGTTTCATTACTTAAATGGACATAACTACATAAGAAAGTATGTGGGAAAAATACATATGAAAAGAACACAAAGGAAACACAGCTTGAAATTTGAAAGATTGGGCTATTCAAGTTCAACCCTGTCAGGGCTTCAGGGATGAACTGTAAGATCTTCATTTTTCTTCTCCGGAATGGTCCAATTTGGATGGTGCTTTGAACATCCATCGCCATCCCTTGAAACTTTTTCTGCTCTTTTTGGTTCCTCTTTCATCCACTGTCATCCGACATGAACCTCCATTGCAAAAGGCCCCATCTCCAACCAGTGCATTTTCAATAGAACCACCAGATTTATATGGCATAAAATCACCACCATCCCTCATGCTGCCAAAAGCAGAAAAAACACCCTTCTTCACTGCAGGGATATCCCCTTTAGGCTCTGATTGGAAATCAAATTTTAAGTCAATGAAGCCTGAATCATCCCCACCAGTAAAATAACTCTCTTTCAGAGAAAACACCCGCCTGTTTGCTCCATTAAAACCACCATCAACATCCATGAGACCACCAACACCTTTTCTCATAGCTCTAATATCTGCAATATCAGACTCAATGAAAGAACTGTCTCTTCTTTCACTATCAAAGCCACTTTTCCTCGGCTCTGCTTCACTAAACCCACTTTTCCGTTCAGGATCAAAAACCAAACCACCATTGACACCAGAACTCCTAGCAGCTGAAATGGAGCTCCTTGCACCTGAAATATTCATCAAGTCACTTCCATCTTCAGATCCAAAAAATCCACCACCCCTGAAGCTACAAAGAGACCTTGACCTTGACACGCCCGTGTAATCAACAACCCACAAATCACTTTTGTCATCAACCCCACCAACACTCTTACCACAATTATTACTATCTTTGTCTCTCTTTTTCCTAAACAACCTTCCAATTCTCCAAAATCCGTTCTTTTTCTTGATCTCAACGCAGCTACTATTGCTTCTCTTGAGTAAGAAAATTTCTTCTGATTTATTTCCACTATTACTGTTTCTAGGCTTGGAAATTGGATTTAGAACTTGATCCTTGTTTTCATTCTCTATCAAGAATGAGACACGACCAACGCTACCTACCTCACCAGTGCATGAAGTTCGAGGGTTGGAGGAGATTTCAGAGCAAGAGCAAGATGAGAGACGCTGTTCACCACAATCTGAGCAAACCAAGTTGATCAAACGATCCTTGAGACAATAAGCACATACACCAACTGAAGATGGTTGCGGGTGTTTCTTACATGGAACATCCGATGAAGTGCTATAATCTTGGAAAAAATCAATATTGTTGTACACTTCCACAGCTTTGCCTCTCTCTTTCATGGCTTCTCTTCATTATGTACTAAAATGAATCCCCAAACTTGGAAAGATTGGCTTCTCAGGAAGTAGTGCTTGGACAAGCCAGAAAATACATATCTCGAGAAAGGGTATAAAGATCGAAATGCTTGCTTTAATAGGCATATATTGAAGTTGATCAAGGAAGCAAAGGATCAACTATGGGGAGGAAAAGTGAAAGTGGAAGAGAAAAATAGCAAAGTTAGAAAAGTTAAAGACACTTAAGATTCTCAAGAATGCAAGGTAGCTGAACACTTTAAGGTAGGTAGATGGATGATAATGAAAAGCATAGAGAAGGCGTTGCCTTTACGTTTTTCTTTGGACAAAGTAAAAACAGTGATGTAGAAAAGCACCATTTCCTACATGTATAATTGTGTAGGGACTATGCAACAGCAAATTGAGTAAAGTTACTGAAACTCTGAAACAAGCCAAGTAAGTATCTTCCTACTAAACCAAAACCAAAGCTCAAGCTCACGCTCTCTACTCCACTGCCCATAGCCACTTTGATTTTACCCTGTGGGCTACATGCTGTAGAGTTTCTTTTCTGTCATTTAAGTCCCACCTTAAAAAGTCTTTTGAATCAATGTATGCATGGTCCAAATCCATCAATCTGTCATGTGTTTTGTCAACTTTTTCCCTGATTTTCTTCACTTTTCTTTCTTGATTATTGACTTTTTTCCCATGCTAAATGCTAAGTGGAAAACACTCTCTTCTCAATTAGAATCGTTTCTTCATTTTCTTCTACTATTGGATTGATGAAAGTCACCTATCAGAAAAAATAAATAAAGATATAAGAATGCATACATTAATTTGGTCCACTTTCTTTTGAAATTGTGCCATGGTTCATGAAACCCATCTTGTATCATATGTTCTTTTCATGTAGATATGGAGCACGTGTTCTACCGACAGATCCATTTGCATGGTCCCCATGGAGGAATGGAGGCCTAACTTCTTTGGCATTTTTTCCCTAGAATTTTCTTTTGGAAATTAACTGTTCTTATATGCTAGGCTTCATAGGCAATCTTGGTGATGAGAAGTATGAAACAATTTTAGACATAACTCATGAACCAAACCCTCAAAAGTATAAAAACTAGGATGATGTCTTTAGACTAGATGTGTCATGCCAACAATCGCACCTGGTTCGAATCTCTTCATGATTTTTTGTTGGTAAATGATTTGTAAGTATGAAAAATAAGTAAATAAAAATTTAATTAATTTATAAATCTCAATTAAATTGATGATTTAATTAAATTTTAAAAACAAAATAAATCTTATTTGTTCTTAAACTTTTTTTTTATAAAAAAATAGATGTGTCACATTTCATTAACAATACCTTTTATAAGCTCCATATCTATAAAAAAAAAATATAGACCAGCCAAAAACGAAATATTGATCACAAAACATAAGGAAAGAAGAAAAATAAATAATTAATAAAAGAAATGAAGCTTGTTATTGGTACAAGCATGTCCATGGCGAGACATGATGGGGAGGCGGCATGCTCAACGCATGCTAGATCCACATACATCATTGAGGCAAATAAATAATAATTGTTTCAAGTGATATTATTGTTTGGTCTAATTTATTTTATTGTATTTAGAGATGGTAATAATCATGATGTTCCATTGTTCTTTCCTCGCTAATAACTTTGTAATCTTGTAATTGATGAACTCTAAAAAGGCTTTGGGATCGTAAAGTTAAAAGTTTTGCCCATGTAAGACATTGAAATTCTCCATATTTTTTACTAATTAACAGCATTTTCTATAAAAAAAATTTATCGATATTAAAATTTAAATTTATTAAATATAAAATTTTAAAAATAATTGTATAAATTAGTTAATTTAAACAGTAACTTCAACATTTTCCAACGTTACATATATTATTAGTCATGCTTAGGTACCCATCAACCTGAAATGCAAAAGAGAAAAAAAAAAAAAAAAAAGCCTCTTTTAAGGCTCTTTCGACGATTCAAATTCTAAGAATTTGATAGTTTTATTGTTTTCTGAATTTGAATTTTAGAGAGAACAAACAATGAATGATTATTCGTCATGTGGTCTACATACCTTTTACTTTTATGCCTACCTTTTGTTTTGGTGGAAGCCAGCCGGTGTTAAAGGCACCCCATTGGAGTCGTTCAGTAGTGGCTTTTTTATGGTTAAAATAACAAAAAAATTTTAAAATTTTAAAATTATTATTTTATTTAAATAAATTTTTTATATTTTTATTATATCTAAATAAAATTTTAATGTATATCCAAAAAAACTTTAATATAAATTAATCTTTTATTTAAAATAACAACTCATATAAATACAAATGAAATGATAAAGTCTTACATAGGTACAATAAAAGTATAAAATTTTATTTAAATAAAATTTAATAGTTATTTTTTTAATATTTATGTCTTTAAATAAATAAAAAATATTTTAAGGAAAATATTGGGGTAATATAAATTTAAAGTTGGCCAAATCATAAAAGCTATATATAAATTATGATTTTTTTATTGCTAAATTGCTAAAATCTTACTTCCCCAATCAGAATTTAAATCCCACAATTTCAAATATAAAAAAAAAAAAGTACCAAAAAGATTATCAGTGTTACATATTTTCAGACGTCATGGGTTTCTGCTTTAGGGGTAAGCCCATTAACAATATCAACACATTTATTTTGCTTTCGCTGCTTTGAAGGGAGAAGCCCAGCCTAATTTTAGCCCAAAAGGCCCCTCCCTATCCTCACCTGCTCGTAAATGTCACGGCTCACTGATTAACAAAAATAAACGATCAAAACAAAAATCCGAGAATGCTATTATGATGAATAATAACCGAATTTCCCGAACTACCCTTCCCTGCTGCCCACTCTTACCTCACCTCTTTCCCAAACTACCCTTCAATCATCTTCAGTTTCCTTCTATGCTTCGAGTTTTCAAACCTTTCCAAAGTCGAACCACCGGTTTATTTCGATGAAGAAGAAAGACAAGGACCCAGCAATGGGTCGGCGGTGGAACTTGAAGACTTGGCAGCAAACGGTGTCGTTTATAGAAAGACGCTGAGATTGGTGGAGTGTTTCATGTTTGCTGCTGTCGCCGGACTTGTCTACTTCTTGCGTAATTCCCTCGCAATTGAGGCTTCTTTTGTTTTATCTTTCTCAATTTTGTCAATTGTAAAATAGGTTCTTTTTTATAAAAATATATTTTTCATTTTTTTGGTCAAGTCTTTAGAGTGTTTGAATTGCTATATTTTAAGCAATGCGTTCATTCTTAATTTCATTAGTTGCTAGAAAGCTGCCTTTGAGAGTTGGGGTTTTTATGGGATATTAGGTTCAAATGTTTCTTTTGTCCCAAGGCAACAGTAAATAATTAGAATTTGAGATTACCAATAAGAGGTTTCATGTTTAAATTTTAAGCATGCAATGGGATTTATGAGATAGGAAAATATTATATTTCATTATGTAGGTTAAAGCTGATGGTACTGTATGTGTTGACAAAAAAAACTGGTTTTTAATTTTGTTCAGCTTTGAGCTTTATAATCATAATAATGGGATTTCTCTCTTCAAAAGAAAAGGAATGGGATTTCTGGGGCATCATAATCATAGTAGTTTTACTTGGTATCACTTATGTTTTCTTTAATTTCTTCATTTCTCACTGATGGGTCATTTTTAGAAAGTAAAAGCTCTTTGCGGCCCTGCCAACACTATGTATTTGGTCGTTGGAAACAGTTGTTAATATATTCCATTATCTATTGACTATTGCTATACATGTTTCTAACTCAGATTCCATTTTTGCCAGCATAACTACTTTGGATGTTTCTTTTCATTGCCAATAGTGATCCCCTCTATAAGATGGGGTGTTGCATGTGGGAGGAAACAATTGGTTTGTAACTCTTCAAGAGATTTAATGTGTGAATATTACTAGAAAGTTATCGGATGCCTAATTATTGAGATGGTCTTTCATCTTGCCAGTTGTCCACGGTTATGTTATTTTTTGTCTTGTCTGGCCCTGAGAAAGCCCTAAGCAATCTGGTGAGCTGAATTTGATCTGACCTGAACTTATTTTGCGTGATCTGAGTTATGATTAAACCACTAAAATTGCCAATTACGCCTCAGATACCAAAATTAGGATCTTGTGTGTTCTCTCTATCTCTTTTTCAGCTATAGTTCTTCTTGTTCTTGGGGTTTATGGTGGAAAAGCCTTACAAGTTGTGATGATTTTGCTTTAAGTACAAAAGCCTGATATGCTTTTCCCATATTTCACTGGTCTTTTCCAATTAAGCAAAATCCTTTTTATTTTTAAACAAATTTACCAAAGCATTAAAAAATTTAACCTGTTTGTAGTTAATATTTAATTAGGTTTAAGTCAAGTACGGTAGCCCTCTCGTTCTCTCTAATCCCAATGTTGTTCTTTTTCCATGGGTGGAGCTGGGTTGTGTTGTGATGTGTTCATTTTTTTCTGCCAAAGTTGCAATGCACTGGTGGTAGTGGAATTTTACATTTGTTTCTGTAAGTGGAATAGTGAATAATTGACTGACCTTTTTAATATTTTGCCCATGCAGCTTACACATGGAATATTTGGTTTCACAATGGGTGCTTTGTGGAGGTAACTAGTAGTGCATGTCTTTATATATGTTTGTTGAATCTTTTCATATAAGAAACGGTGCTTGCCCTTACACATGTTTGTTACAGCGTTTTATATAAGAAATGTATCTGAACGACATTTGTTATGGTTTTAATCTATGTATGATAAATGCCTCTTATTTTATGAAGCCTATTAAAAGAGAAAAATTTTTTCCAGTTTCTCACACATTGAAATCAGTTAATTGCCGATTGGGGTGTCTCGATTTTCTTGTGCTCAATTGTAGTGTTCTCTCTTATGCACATTCTTTCTCATTAGAAGCTATGGAATCCTCTATTTATATCCTGAACTGCTGTGGTGGACAATTTTTTAAAATTGCAGGCTCGATCAATGGGTGTCGTTGGCTATGTCTTGGCAACCTCTTTCT